TATCATACTCGATATAGCTAGCTAACTCAATAAAAGTGGTACGGATAGCTAGCTATCACAAGCCGATATTGCCCGATAACATATTTTTATAGCTAGATAATCTCAAAGGCATTTTTTTGCTTGGGAACTGTTTAAATATCAACTAGATTTTCATTGCTAGTAAATAATTAATAAATTTTGCTGTCATTAATCCAATTGAATTAAATACAGATATAAATGCTGAGATTACTCGTTATTATACATCTATAATCACAAACCGAAGTAAGATGCACCAAAAGCAAACTTGCAGTGGAATTTATTTTCGAAAATACCATACACTGTTGGATACAGGACTTCAAGGCGGTCAAGAATATATGTATCCTGATTTTCTTAAACACTTTCTTCAGATCAAAAAATTAAAAAAATTCGAAAGATGATAAAACGGACAATTTTTCGTCTTTTTAAATCCGCTAGATGCTCAGCTTCAAAAGTTACGAAAACCTTTTCCAAATGTTGCTTAGGCGTTTTGTTAGTGACCGTTGATTTAGTTCATGAATCGAATTGAAGTTGCTTTTTTTATTTATCAACTCCAAATAATTCTGTTAAGTCAACACAGGCTTGTTTCGATCAAACGCATCTCGACACAGCTCATTCAGAATAAAAAAAGTAAATATAGAAATATAGAAACAGCCAGTTTCAAGACTGTCTACTGCCTTAAACTCTGCAATAAAATAGCAAAACATTCCTGTAACAAAGCTAAGTAAGTATAAATATAGGATTAAATTAGAAATTTGTCTAGTTTTTGACACTACGGTATGTGTCTAGTGTTTCTCACTTTCACAGCATCGTATGTATTTCTCACGTCATACCACGTTTTTCAAAATGTTTTTCTGCATTTTCTTTTGACTGCATTCTGTGTTCTATTATGTATATATTTAATGTACGATAATAAATTTCTTTACTGCTTTAGTGAAATTGTCAATAGTAACGCTTTTTGTTCTCACTGCTGTAAGTTTTTCTCGTACAACATGAACTGCATAAAAATCGTTTTCTTGTAGAGTAGTTGGAAATAGAAATCTGTATTCCTAATGAATAATTTCATGACTGTAAGCAAAAAGAAAAATAGAACAACTCGTTTTTCTCTTGTAAAAGAAAAGAACGAAATGCCTGAAATTCTCAACTCAACTTACTGTGTTAAGGTTGCAGTTGCTGTGAACTGTAAAATCTCGTATAAGCGGGCAATTTTGACTTCTGAGACGGACATGTGCTATAACTTCTTTCAATAATTCTGTTCCCGATCAATGAAAAAATTAATAAACTCTTTCCGATGAGCAACAACACATCTCTCTCGTGCCCCAAGAAATAAGGTCCAGACGAATTTGTTGAATAACTCACATTCCACCGATGTAAAGCCAGTCTACAGCTCTCCACCGACCTAATCAACTGTTCATCAGTTTTTTTCAAATTGTGAATTTCAAAAAATGTTGATCAATAAATTTGGCCATATCAATTGCTGTGAAACTAGCTGATTTTTGAGAACATGCTTCAATCACAAATGTACAGGCTTTTTGTTCAGTATCAGGATATTCATCATAAAATGCATTAATTATTGATCTTGTTTACCATCCCTCGACCATCAGCAACAAAATCGTCGTAGGCACCATTTAAAAAAATTCAGGCCGTTTATGAACTTTTTGCCGAAGTCTTGCCGGTCGTTGTACTAATTCAAAGTGGGCATCTTTCCACAGTACAGGCAGACATGTGACTTTTTAACTTAAAAAGTGATTATTTTTGCACAGTATCACTTTGTTACGCCAGAAATGTTAATAAAATTTCAAAAAAGCCAAATTCGGAAAAAAGTTGTTTTTAATAAAAATCTTTGAGGTGGACCCTTGTCATAAATTTTTGAGGACAATTATATTCTCATCGATTCATTAGTGCACTCATGTTTAAAGTGGCATTATTCGTTGAGATAGTTTGTCAGAAAGATGCATTTTCGAAGTATTTTCAGCGTGCAAAAGAGTACTCAAAAGACCAGAATGTAGAGATGTGCAACCCGACCCGAAGGTTGGGTACGGGTACGAAGTTGTCGGGTACGGGTAGAGCAGTTACGGGTACGGGTTCTATTTTTTTTAACTTACCCGAAAACCGGAAGGTTCGAGTGGAAAACTCTCAAAATTTCAGTGAAAAANCATACATTAAGGTTTAAAAAAGAATTACTTGAGAACGTAATGATAATTTGACATGTTCAGCCGAAAAACAAAAGTTTTTAGCTGGAAAACAAAAAGGAGAAATCTTTTAGGTATAAGTCGATTACGGGCTAGATACGGGTCGGGTATGGGTATACAGTTCTCGGGTCGGATCGGGTATGGGTGGAAAAAAAATTTTCGGGTCGGGTACGGGTACGAAAATGGTACCCGTGCACATCTCTACCAGAAAGTAACGATGAAAGGAACACTATATAAGTGTTATATAAGTGCTCTTTTGCATGATGAAGTTACGGTTAAGTGTGGTACGGCCAATTATCTCTATGAGCAAATTATTTAAATTACAAGGTATTGCGATGTTAAGTATGATGTTATTGTTGATTGCGATCTCAATCGAATGAATGAAGACCTCATCACTCTACGTACGCAAGCTAAAATTTATTTTGTCGAAGCCATAAAGTTAGCATCACATGAAAAGTGCCTTTACTCTAAGACGGAAATGGCTTACACACCTTATTTTGTATTTGATGAATATAACTATGCCTTCGCACTAGCGAAACAACTTATAGACACTATTGAGTTAGGGAACTATGAGTTATTTGACCCGACAAGTTACAATTTCTTAATAATGAGATAGATGACGTTGTTTTTATAACATTAATTCACGATTCACTAAGAACTTTCGAATAGTATTATACGAATAGTAGTATACTTGAACAGATTTGAAGCACGTGATGATTGACGGTACCAACGTTTTTTCTCATTAGACGAAAAACAGTGCCTGTTAAATAAGGCACTTTATTAGACTAGCGAAATTTAGATAAGGCAACAGTTAGCTGAATTTGCTTTGCCATCCTCTGAATTTACTAGCCGACTCTCTATTCATACCGAATTTTCCTTTTCAGATAGAGATTATTAATCTGTTAATTAGTCTGTAGATTTGATTTAGGTCGGGTTTGATATACATGACTTCATATTGTTCACATGGTTGTTTCAAAAATGGTTTTTGATTTGAATTAATACTCAAGTATGGATAAAAATTCAATCAATAGTTTATTGTGCAGAATACGTATAATTCCATGCGTGTTGCCCAAATGCTGAATAAGTTTTGATTGATGATTTGGCGGCCAAATTTCCAAAACCATGCCGTTATCACCTTTCAGTAAAATGGACCTCGAATATAAGTCGATTGCAGTTTTATTAGGTAGTGTCTTGTAACACCATCCTAACTCATGAAGGCAACTTTGTTTAATAGCCGTCATAAGTTCTGGAAATGCGACATCAGTTAATTTGAAATCGATCACTTTTTTATATAGTCGTATATTTGTTCTGTCCAAGTCGTCAACTGGCATCATAGATTTATTCTTAAAATCATCGACGTACATTTCTTCCTCGGTCACAAACACAGGTGAATCGCTTCCAATAGCCCTATTATGTACTTCTGGCATACTTCACGCTAAGAATTTTTATTATCGCCTCCGTTTGAGCCAAGCTTTGAAGCCTGGGCTCGCTTGTAACATACTTGAATTAGTTTGTCCGAAACACAAGAGTACTGATGATGCTCAAGAATTTAAACACTTTTTTGACTTTGCATAACTTTACAAAAAAATTTTGATTTGTAAATAAAGGAAACTTCTTGATAAACTCGAAGTATTTCAGAACAAAACAAAGTGTTCTTTAGGAAAACACACTCCAAAACTAAACCTTACGTGACAGCGCCTGTGTTTCAATTCTCATAAAACTCTCTGCTACTGAACTGTGACTGAACGTTTTTAATTCGTCATGAATTTAACTTGAGTTTCAGAACAAACACGTAGCCTTAAACTGCATCAAACTTTCTCACTCAACTGAACTAAAACGTTGATTCATACCGAGAAATATTATAGTTCACCTTTTTTCCTCTGCGTTTTGTGATGAAAAAGTTATAATTGTGAATAAGGATCAAATACAAACACAAAACTATAGTAAGAGCAGAGAACATGGAAAAATATATCATTTCAGATTTTGATTGACGAATTAATTATTTCGCCAAATAGCAGTGTGACAAATGATTATGGACCCAGTAGAAGATCTTTGCTGTCCTATCAGTCTGCAACTCCTGCAAGATCCAGTTGTAGCTGAAGACGGTCATACGTATGAGAGGGAAACCATTGTGAAATGGATAAATGATGGAAATTACAACAGTCCAATAACAAGAACCCGTATTTCAGTTAGTGGACTGCGTCCAAAATCATCATCGGCATATATATAACACAAATTATTGAATAGTATATCGCACACAGCAAAAAGCATACCAAATAAAATGTAGGTAAAGTTATCGACATATTCGCTAGATGATTGAATTAAGTAAAACTGTACGACCAAAGGACGGGGCGATTATTTGATGGAATCGGCCCCTACTTTAATTCGATCGACACATACATGGTTAGATGCACAATTAACCAGAGAACATTTCTAGCGGCCCGACAGACCTTAGAGTTGCTCTCAGAAAAAACTGGGTCGAATTTACTGTACTCAGTTTTACTCTTCTCTGTTCAACGATGACGATTCTGTGCTCCGCACTTGTCCACTAACCATGACAATACATATACCATTCGATAGAGAATTCTCGAGCTACAAGTTCGTATATACAAAATAGTGAGAAAAGTGTTTTAGGGCATCCTGACATTAGAAATACTGTCTGGAAAGCCATGAAAAGTGGGTGGCTTATTCCACGGTGACGATCCTGCGCTTCGCACTTGTCTACTAACCACGACGATTCTTCATACAAACTTCACACGGTTCGAACGGTTCTTCTGAAACCGGCCATTTGTGCAAAAAGTTCGACCTTTCTTCCATCACAGGCGCTACTGGTAATAATAGCGTCCTTTCTGTTGGGGTAATTGGTACACAACTTGAACTGATCGACAAAGCACATTTCGAAGTTTGATTCGAATTTGCTTGAAATTCCAAAACTGTACGTAACAAGTCTTCATCATCGCTCTCTGTTGACCATTGGTCACCACATGTCTTCATCGGAGGAACCTGATTGTTCTTCAGAAACTTGGCATCCTCCTCTCGGTCTTACACCTTTTTAAATCGAGCTAAACGGAGCACATAAAATCAAAAGCGTATACTTTTCTGTAAAAACACCATACCACCCGAAAATCCCAAAACTTGTACTTTGCACTCCTCCCTTAAAAGTAAAGCAACACCAGAAAGCCATAACACTTACCTTTAAAAAACATTTCTTCTCAATACGTTTGCAGACTGTACTTACCAGCAAGCATAAATTCCAGGCTTTCTTCCTTTTTCCACAGCGTAAAAAGGCATTCGAAAATCCGCAAAAGAAACTGAATTACAAACCGAATAAAACCGCAAAAGCTGGCAATCTACTTCAACACGCCTAATTTTATAGTGAACGACAATACACGAAAACAAAAGCACTACACGCGCAACGTGCTTCGGTAACAGAAAAGTATTACTTTGATATTCACATTTCACAATTAGTCAGTAAGTTGCTATTCTTTTTGCTTTTCGCCCATCCAGTTCGTTTATTCATCTACTTACTTTTCCGTTTAAAATACAAACTAACGTCCGAGATCTACCGTGTAAAAACAAGTCAATGCATATATTCCTCACACTATATATACTACATAAAATTCTTTCAACAATAAGACCCTTTCTAAAAAGCACAGCCCGCACAGACACACATTCACACACACGGGAAACGTAGACCACGCTGTCTACAAGAGAATTTTGTATCTTCATACAAACTGTTTCTTGCCTACTCCACCAGAAAAAATGCTTTTACACGAGAATTATGCTGTTTTGTGCGAGAATAATGCATATGATCTGTATCATATTATGCTATCCTCACGCGAGATTTAGGCATAATTCTTACGCAAAACAGCATCATTCTCGTGTAAAAGCATTATTCTCGTGGACTAGGCAAGAAAAAGTTTCTATGAAGCGATACAAAATGCTACTGAAGGTGGTATAGTATGTTTGAGACTTAGGCATACTTCTCACACAAAGCAGCATAATTCCCGTACAGCACTGAGGGAAAAGGCAAAATTGGCATGTTGCAGTTTTTTCTCCACGCAGAAGTAAGTTGTGCCAGTTTCTTAGCAAAATTCTCGCGGGACGAACATAATTTCGGTTTGACGATTTCTCTCCCACTGCTGCCTTTCGACGCTGAATCCCAATATGTTATTTAAAATGTTCCATGTCCTAACGGTGATTTTCAAAACGCTTTTAATTCAACTAATGTAGTCCAAAAGCCACGGTTTTCTGGAAGTCCTGCTTCCAAAGGTTTTGAAGGAAACTTTCTAGAGCCAAAAAGAAAAGGAGTACCTCGAGAAAACCTTATAAACCACAGGACAGCTCTATAGCAACACTTGGTGAAATAGCCTAGACCAACTTTCTGGCGCAGGACGCGTATTGATAAACTACTATGGGCGCCAAAATTCAAGGTACTCGGTTGTTTTCCGAATAACTCCAAAATGATAAAAGATCGAGACTTGCGATTTTCAACAATCGAAAGAAGATAGTTTAGCCTATGTTTTCATAAGCAAAATCCTTTTGCGAAACCATTCGAAAGACCGGTTTTCTAGGATATCTTTGGAAAACTACTTCGGAACTATTTGAATGAATTTGCGTGAATTTGTTTGAATTTAACGGACTAAATTCAACTGTTTCCCCCTTGGAACAGAACCTAAAAGTGTTTGCATCAATACATCATAATTTTGATGATCAAAATTTAATAAATTCAGATTATAACAATATTCTAAGACATTGACAAGGTAATCTTATCGACACAAACTTGGTTAGAATTCGAAACTAAGGTGAAGGAGAAGCAGTTAACACTTGGAGAGTTTTGTAGACACTCCCTTGCTTGCTACGAAGAAGTAACATTCCTGGTGTATGTATTGATTAAAGATTTAGTTTAAGGAAGACCGCTAGAAAACTGCTGCAACGATTGTGTACTGTTTCATAGCCATAACCTGAACTTTAGTTAGCCAATTTTTACAAACGTATGTACATATCAATGAAAAAAGTTTGAATTATTTTTTAGAGAAATAATATCGGTTCCATACAAAAGCTAATTGTTTCTCATTCCACCGTACTAGACTCCCTTTGTTCTATCTTAGTAACGCCATCAAAGCAAACGTAATAGCGGGACGAAACCAAAGTCACAAATTACTATCGAAAACAAAATAGACATTTCAAAACACTTTCGCACGACTAGTACTACAAGACACGTTTAAAACTAAAGTAGTAACCACTTGTGTACTTTCAAACAACGCCAAAGCACAACATAACGGGGTAAGAAATAAGTTTAACCAAGGATTTAATCAAGAAATTATACTCCAGGTTTTTTCGTCAAACAAGATACACACGACTATATTAGTAACAATTCTATGCACATTTTCATCATTACCTTCTATTGATGAAGACATATCTAACACTGTAGATGGATGCTGACCGTTTTCTCACAGGCTACGAATACACTATATATGAGTCATTTGCAACTTTATTGTACAATCGAGTTTTTGTCGTATTTTTAAAATTACTCCGGTTTCTGGAAACGGATTTCGAAATTCTTTGTTTTGTTTTATCGCTTATCGCTTGCTTCACTACCACAGAAAATCTCAGCTCAATATCTCAATAACTCACCGAGATGAATTCATCAAAAGTCGAAAAAAACCTGTTTTTAGATGACTTATTTAGAGAAAAGTAAATTTTTCTAACAAAAGAAAGAATGAAAAGCAAAAAGCAAATAGTACGTTTTGTAGAGCATTTAATGCTCTATCAAACTGTGTGCCTTCATGCTTGTTTTGTTCTTTTGTTTATGCTCGTCTAAGGACGAAAATTGTTTTACAGACAACTTGTAGATCGAGATAAAAATCAAACTGGGCACTTGTGAAAACGTTTTTTGGGAATGTGAGGTGCTCATAAGCAAGAGCTAGGGTGGCTGGATCTAACTGAGTAAAAATGCTTTGTTAAGTGTCTTTCTTACCAGGCGAAAAAATGGAAAACAGAGTTTTACGTTCACTATGTAGATCGAGATTTTCCAACTTTTGACATCCGCTGTTTTACAAGAACTTGCCTGACTGTAACAGCGTTGACCCACAAGAAAGAGTGTCAAAAGTTGTACAAGTGCTGCAATTTTCCAGTCTCTAGAACATACCTAAGTAGGACGAAATTACACTATACCGCGAAATGTAGAGCGAGATTGTTTGTAGATCGAGATTACTCTAAAAGTTTTTTCGGTTCTTTTAGTCAAAAACCAAGTTATAACACCAATTTTGACTCCTTATATTCTGCTGAACCTATCTATCCATAAATTTACGTAGTTTTGAAGTCGAGTTTCTCCAAAGTGGCTGGCCACCTGTAGTTACAAGCTTTTCGTCTTATTTTTGAATAAAGAGAGAAAACTTAAAATTGTAGCACAAAACTAACTGTG